CCCATATCCCGCCCCATCCCCAAGAGTTTCTCAACGGATTTGGGCTGTACTCAGCAAGCGCAGTACAGCCCCCAACTCTGATTTGAAAAACAATCAGTGGACAACGGTGGACTTCTTTTTTTTTCCTTCTTTTTTTTTTTTTTTTTTACTGGTCAGCAGACCGCCGACCGGTCAGCCCAACTGGTCGGCTGCAAGACGATGGCAGTCGGGGTCAGCGGTCGGCAGGGATGCAACCCTGGTCTGGGGTCTAGGGTCTAGGGTTTCTTAAGGTTTAGGTTTAGAGTGGCTGGGTTAATGGTTTAGGGTTCAGACCGAAACAAATCCTCGATCTGCAAACCATACAGTCTTTATCGAGAGTTGTACGTGTGTACCACTAGCTACCAGGCATGCGGTGCATTTCATGTCGTTACAATCCAGCTACGAGTTCACGCCCGAGGCTGCGGACCCAACAAGATCACGATTCCATTTCATAGCCAATTTTCCTGGGCACTTGGTTGCCAAATTCGCGGAAAGCACAATTTACCTCCATAGATTCTCTTCGGCATTCGCAGTCTGTACTCTGATACAGCAATAAGTTGCCGTAACACCGTCCCATAGTCAGATCCAAAGATTGGAACACCCCGAATAATTTCATACATATGCTGGAATATGCTTTTAATCTTCCGTGCCAGAAACCCCCTTCCTGGAAAAGATTGAACAAAAAAACATTTCAAAGGTACGACGACGTGAAACGTCAGCCAAAAAACACACCGGCGTCCTCTACATGCAAGCCAGGGCCTCCTACTCCGAACACCCTTCAGGTGCATCGCACATGAGAGCCATCACATTTTCCATATGGGAGTCATCAAGTGAAACAACGACATGAGTACCTCAAGCAGAAAAAAACATTGGTGTCCTCACCAAAGAAGCCAAAGCTTCCTACTTTATAGATCCTTCAAGTGCTAAAGCTTCATACTTTATAGATCCTTCCAAGTGCTTCCCACGTTGAAGGCATCAATTGTTTCCCCACTAGAGCCAAAACTGAGTGAGTGTGTAACTGGCAAATCTGAGCCCACACCATCCAGAGCTGATACATGCCCAGTTGGGCGATGTATGTAAATAGCCAAGGATCCGCAATGTGATATAAAGGACTGAATGGACATGGAATTTCCACAAGCAATGTATATCCTGATACATACAAAATGGCGCCTTGTGGCGCAGCGGAAGACTTAGATATAAGCCCTGACCTGACCGGGACTGACCTCTCTCACGTAGTGCAAGACAGCGCAGCAGAATGCTAGAATACCAATGACTAGCCCAATCAATGTCTCAATAAAGACCAAACATACATCATCCTCATCACAAGGTGTGAAGGGGCCTGGCGCTACACACAGGAAGAAGGCCCCAGGTCCAGACCATACACAGACGAAGAGGAGGGAATCAGACGAGGAAGAAGGGGGAAGATGGGAATGTCGTCAACACCAAATCTTCATTACAAGTCCCAGATAACCCCTCGTCAAATGTCTGAAGTCCAATGTCGAGTCTGGATCCAAATGCCACCAAGCCCTCAAGTCTCCCTGGCCTCCGCCCAATCTCTCTCTCTCTCTAGTACTACTCTAGCTCTGAATGGCGCCCAGCGCTGACTACTGCTAACGCTACTAGCGCCCAGCCCTGGAGACTACTGCTAGCGCTACTACTACTCCTGCAGTGCTCCTCCAGAGTGCTGCTGCCGAATCCTGAAGACTACCTCCTGCCTCCTGAACTGCAAGTGAAGTGCCTGGGAAGTCCCTAGGAAGCCTGCAGGGCGGGCCAGTCCTATATAGTGCTGGCCCGTCCAGGAGGCTGCTCTTGCCAATGCCGAAACGTGCCAATAGTGCTGGCCCGTCCAGGAGGCTGCTCTTGCCAATGCCGAAACGTGCCAGACCCTGGCGCTGAAGCTCAAACAGGGGTTGTCTTGAAAACAGGCCCAAAATGGCCTGTGCTAAAACCCTGGTTTGGTGCCTGAGTTTCAGGGCAGGTCGAACTCATGAGGGCCTGAAAATGGCCCTCAGTTTCAGGCTGAAAAGACTCAGGGCCGGAAAGGCCCTGATTTAGGCTGAAACGACACAGGGCCTGCAGGCCCTTGTTTTCAGGCTTTCAGGCTGAAACGACACGGGGCCCGTAGGCCCTTGTTTTCAGGCTTTCGGCCTGAAAACGTCACGGGCCTGAAAGTGGCCCGTGCAGCCTGTTGCAGGCGCAGGATGTAACAAGAGCTGAGGGCAGGCTGGAAATCCAGAGCTACAATTCAGTTCTTTTCCCGCAGCCAGAGTGTCAAAAGAGAAAAGAGAACTGACACCCTAACCCACTAGTGCTCCCGCCTCTTCGAAAATGCCAATCGTGTGACATTCCAGTGAATGCGCCAGGATGTGCGGGGCCCTACAAAACGGGACGGCCCACCGGCCGCAGAGGGTTGGAAGCAGTTCAAAGAAAAAAAAAGAATGCAATATCTCCAGCAATTCACTCAGAATTACACACAGAAAATCCAGAAAAAAAAATCAGGCACGTACATTTCGTCCTCATCTTTTCAGAGGGGGAAATCAATAAGTCGAAAATAAAATCTACAATGGCAAATAAATTCTGGCGGGAAACAAACACACTTTTTCTCAATCTTTTTCCAGCTTTCGCTCCCCGCCACAACCAGTAGGCTGAACTTTTTTTGGCTTTGGCACTATTGAAAGGATTTCACTCTGCAGACCCCTGAAAACTTCACGTACGGTAGGTCCGATAGGCCAGTGAAGCGTCGTAGGTCCGATAGGTCAGTGAAGCGTCGTGGGTCCGAGATAGGAAACATTCAGAAAAGTCAGGTCGGGGTAGAGTCAGTCCAGTACCCCACCGAGGTCCGAAGGTCCAAGTCCACAAAAATTGCAGCAAGTCCCAGGAAAGTCCGGGAAGCTTCCAGACCGGAAAAATTATTGCAACAGACAGACCGTGGTTGACCGGTACCAGTCTGAGGCAGGCCAAGCAAAGTCCAATTCCTATACTTAGCTGCCACACTGCAGCAACGGACACAGTTGTTCATTCGTGAAGTTGCGGAAACGCTGCTGTCGCTTGTGTGACCAAGCGACTTGGGCAAGACAACGCTAGAAGAAGGGAGTGTTGACGACAGCCATAGCTAGGGGAGTGATAGGGAGGCAGGGGGGCCATAGCCGCCAAGGCTGAAGCCTGATCTGAGCGGGTGTATTTGGGGATCCAAGGAAAGAAAGAGAGACTGAGGTTGAGTGATACAAGTTCAGAGGGAGATGGAGAGCAGAGAGAGAGAGAGAGAGAGAGAGAGAGAGGGGTAGACGGTTACATATCTGAATCGAGGCTGAGTCTGTCTGCGCGGCAGATTCCTGTGCCTCGCCTATCAGTTCCAAGTGTGAATACTTGTCTGGATGCTCATTGCAAGCGTGTGCAAGGTTGAGGGTGATTGACTTGAGTTCATTGCACTACTGGCCCCCCAAATTTCCGACCACTCAGGGGACTGGCCCCCTAAATGCCTGAGTGCATACTCAGACAAGGACATTGCAGACAAAACCTAAGCAAAATTATTGGTCAGAGACAATTTGCTGAAAGTCCTACTGTGAGTATGCCCTAAGCATCTGATGCTGAACAACAAAGCTTAGAGCACAATAGGTCAGAAGCAACAACAACATAGCAGAGCCAGCCTGCAAGAGTTTTCAAGTGTTTGATTCATTCGGATGGAAAGAGCGCTCCTCCGGCTACCTCTAACCGGAAGAAGGAAATTCCTGATAGTACTTGATCAAACAAAAATCCTGGAAGAATGTGGAAAAGGATCTTGAAGACAAAAAAAGAACTGCTGGCCAGAAACGACTCGAACCACTGAGGGGGGTGTGCAACCAGAGCCAAGGGGTTATGAGGGGAATGTGCAACCAGACCCAAGGGGTTATGAGGAGGGTGTGCAACCAGAGCCAAGGGGTTATGAGAGGGATATGCAAAGTACGCCAAAGTTGGTGATTTTCAATTCTCATTTCCGTTGGTAAAGGACTTCTAAGGAAAACCAGGGATATAGGATAGGTTTCATACATCATTGAAAGAATTAGAAAAATAAACAAAAATGTTTTAGCTCACAAACTAGGCTGTTTTTCCGGGCGCCCGGGCACCCAACTTATGCTCGGGCACACGCCCAGGTGCCCGGCCGAGCATGACCCCCGGGCAGGGTTCCAGGCAGCCCCAGTGCAAAAAAAAAAAAAAATCCCGGAAAAATATATGTCGTGTAGAATTGCAATACAAACGACTTTTGGCTGAGGGTCACATTAGAATTCCCCACAGAATCAGAGTTAAAAAATAAAATAACAGAATCACACTACGGCACCCCCCTTTAAACCCATTTAGCCCCTTTTGCAAGGAAAATGAGAGAGAGCGAAACGACAGAAATCCAGAATGCAATGCAAAATCACATTGAGAGCCAGCAAGTCCAACGCTGTCCAGAAAGCAGAAATGCACTGATATGCCAACAACGGAGAACCAAAACACTGAATCCAATTGTCAATGAGAGCATACTCTCGCCATCACCAACATATGTATCGAGAGTCCTTCCTCCTACTTGGCACTCAGCGCCCAGACTACGATCACACAGCTTACTAGCAGCCTACGAATTGACAATGCATCCAGTTGACGTCAGCAGCAGAACCAAAGTACATGAAGATGT